CTGCCCTGCTGCCTCTTCTACAGGGTTCCCTGCTCTGAGCCTCTCACCCACTTGGCACCGGGTGGCACTTCCTTGTTTTGACATCCTTGAAGAGTTCTGAATCTTAGATCCGCTTCCTCCACTCATGACACGTGTGGAGCATGTGAGGCCAGCTGTCAGGCATGCGGAACAGGGCAGGACAATACCATCCCCACCCTGGGCTGCCTGCTGTCTGCTGGGGCAGAGAACAAGGGCTTGGCACCATAGGAACCCTGAGGCAAATGAAGTCAGGAGCGCCATCTGAGTCTCTTATGTGGATTGCAGGGGACCAAGCACTTGTGTCATCATTTTTTGTTTTAATTGGAAAGTCAGATTTACAGAGAGAAGGAGAGGCAGAAAGATCTTCCATCTGCTGGTTCACATCCCAAGTGGCCATTGTGGCCAGAGCTGAGCTGATCTGTAGCCAGGAGCCAGGATCCTCCTCCTCCGGGTCTCTCATGTGAGTGCAGGGTCCCAAGGGTTTGGGGCACCCTAGACGGCTTTTTCTAGGCCACAAGCAAGCAGCTGGAAGGGAAGTACAGCAGCCAAGACATGAGCTGGCATACATATGGGATCCCCGTGCAAGTAAGATGAGGAGCTTGATCAGAACTGGAGCATCCCGGGCAGGAGTCAGGATCCTGGGCTCCACTTCCGATGTAGTTCTTGGCCAATGCACAGCCTGGGGGACAACTCACCTGTCTGGGTGCTGGGTACCAGGGCAGAGATGTGTAGTCGTTTCTGCCCTTTGGGTTATGGCCGGGCCCAGCACTGCCTGAAGTGGCCCTTTGGGACATGAACCAGAAGAAGGAAGATTTCTGTCTTGCCTTTTCTTTGAAGAACTTATTATTATTTTAAACCTTTTTATGTGTTTATTTGAGTCAGTGTTATAGAGAGGGGGAGATGGTCCATCCTGCATCCGTATGGGATAGTGGTTGGCCTTACCCTCTGTGCTGTAACATCAACCCCTGCTTTTTTTGAGCAAGATGACAATTTAAAAAAATACATTGCGAAGGACATAAGCAGGTACTGTGATGGGTGTCTGTTCGTACTGTGTTGGGGGAGTTAAAGAAGCCTCTTCCCCACACAGAAAGTGCCACAGGCCAGGAACTACGTCATAAAGGGAGATCCTTTCACTAAAAAGTGAGATAAGCATACTCGTGGACAGACATCTTGAATCCAGGGCACGCAGAGGTGCAGTGTGCCAGGCTGCCGCTGGCGATGCCTGCCCACTTTCACGGAGTGGCTACTCTGCTTCTGATGGGCTCCCCGCCAACGCACCGGGCAGTCTGCGGGTGACGGTTCTGGAACCCGGGTCTCTGCCACTCAAGTGTAAGAGCTCAGTGGAGTTCCGCGCTGCTGGTTTCAGCAGAGCCCTCGTTGTTGCAGACATCTGAAGAGTGAACGAGAGGATGGAAACCTCTCCGTCTGTCATTGCCTATTAGAGGGCTTGGCTTCAAGGCTTAATTCTCCTTCCAGATCCAACCCTGTGCTGAAGTGCCCCTTTGGTTACAGCAGTGAGGGTACAAGCTGTTGAGTTCCTGCTACTCACCTGGGAGACCTAGTCTGGATTTCCTGACTTTGACCTGGCCCAGTCATGGTGTGTAGTAGGCATTTGGGTGGGAGAAGCGGCAGATGGAAGATCTCTTTCAAGTAATTAAAAACAAATAGGGCCCGGCGCGGTAGCCTAGTGGCTAAAGTCCTTGCCTTGAACATGCTGGGATCCCATATGGATGTCAGTTCTAATCCCGGCAGCCCCGCTTCCCATCCAGCTCCCTGCTTGTGGCCTGGGAAGGCAATTAAGGATGACAGTCGAGGATGGTCCAAAGCCTTGGGAACCTGAACCTGTGTGGGAGACCTGGAAGACACTCCTGGCTTCCCATCAGTCCAGCTCCAGCCGTTGCAGCCACTTGGGGAATGAACCAGCATATGGAAGATCTTGCTATCTCCATAGATCTGCCTTTCCAATTAAAGAAGCAAATCTCTTAAAAAATTAACAATGAAAATCATCATCACTTTTTTTTTTTAGAAGTTCAGACTTTGTATATCGGGGAGTAGGGTGGCAGTTCACTTGATTAAAAAGGACATGGAGCCTGCTGCTTGAGCACTTGACCCTGGATGAAGCAGCCTCCGCCACCCTGCCCGGAGGAGAGCGGAAATCCTGGTGGGTGCCGCTCCTAGCCACCCCGGCCACCTTGCGTTCCGCTGCCACGGCATCCTTCTGTACCTTGCAAACATGAGTCCATTGGATCAAAATGTACTCAGTCATCGTGACGTGAGCGACCTGGAGTGCTGACACTGTAACAGCCCTGTCGGCTGTGGGTCGCAGAGCCCAGAACCTGCCGGGAGCTCTGAATGCAGGATTCTTCACTCCAAGGGGTCATCTGTGTTGGATTGATGACGATGCTGGGGCTCCCAGAGGCTGCGGAACCGCCCAATGGTCACTTTGCCAGCGGGAGCCGGCTCTTGGTGGTCCAGAACACGTCTAACCACAGGCCCCGGGGCCTGGTGACCGTTTGACCTTCCACAGCTTGGCATCCTTGGAATGCTTCCAGCTGGCCTCCCACAAGCAGGTGCAGCATAACTCTGGCCTGGTGCTGCCAGGCAGAGCTCCGACGCTCCCTCTGGAAGCAGTGGCTGGTGGGAAGCGACACAGCTGCTGGAGCATGGAGGCATTTCCGCCCATCCCTCAGGTGCCCTGCAAGCTGCTCATGCTGGCGAGGGGCAGCCACGGCCCAGAGATGAGGGTCCTTCCCCCGCTTTCCTTACTTCCCTCATCCAGAGTGGTGGTTATTGCCTGCAACTGGGAGAGGTAACCTGCTTGGTCGGGAGGGAGAGAACAGATTACAGCCGGGGACAGGCCAGCTACATGCTCCTCTGCTCAGGCCGCCTCGTACAGCCCCACTGCAGGAGAGGCTTCAGACGCCAAGGAGGGGTGCTGCAGTGATGTGGGCCGCTTCGCCTGGGGCCTGGGGCTTCGGCAGCTCCATCCTGATCTGATGGAGAGGCAACCCACAGGCCAAGGAGGTGGTCTCTGAGCAGAGTGCGCCTGATGGTGGTGGGAGGCCAGGCCGGTGCAGGCGGGCCGAGTCACTTTTACAGAGCAGCTAGCTTTTCGGGAACCTGCAGGGTTGAGGCTTGGAGGCACAGAGGCCACCCTAGGGGACAATCCCGTGGGTGCTGTGGGCACAGCAAACAGGGGTTCCCTGTGATCATGGATAAAGGATGGGAAAAGGGATATTGGCAATCAGGATGCTGAGTGCCCTAGTCTCCCATGCAGTCTCTTCTCTCTAGGGACTGACCCTCTGGATTAAGAGCGGGGAGCCAAGATGCTACCTCCACAGTTAAGGTCCTGCTTGGGTATTTCTGGGATGACAGCATCCAGAAATCTTTCTAAAGGGAATTCTGCAGCTGTGCAGTGGTGCAGCAAGCTAATCCTCTGCCTGTGACGCCAACATCCCATATGGGTACCAGTTCAAATTCCAGCCGGTCCACTTCTGATCCAGCTCCCTGGTAATGCACTTGGGCAACTAGTAGAGGTTCCTGTACCCACGAAGGAGAGCTGAATGAGGCTCCTGGCTCCTGGCTTCAGTTTAGTTCAGTGGCCATTTGGGGAATGAATGCCAGTGAACGGAACATGTATTTCTTTCTGTGTGCTTGCCTCCCCTCCCTCTTACTCTGTAAATAGCTTTTTTTTTTCTTTTACTGTTTACCTGGTGTAAAGTCCTGCTGTGTTTTCCTCCAGTCTTCAAGAGGCAGTTGGTGGCTGTGGTGCAGAATGCAAAGTTGGGCTGGCCGTGTAAGAAGAAATTTAGGATCCCAGGCTTGCTCGGGTGACTCTGCCTCACTTTCCACCTCTATAAATGAGGACTGTTAGGAGGCTACAATAAAGAAATCCAGGTGGGTGGTTGGCACAGCAAGGGAGATACTCCCTGGGACAGCCCACTCCCATATCCCAGCGACCTGGCTTCTGCACTTCCCATCCAGTCGCCCCGCTAAGGCACACCCGGGGCGGTGAGGCGGGGTGGGGGTGGGGGCAGCAGGCGCTGCCGGGTCAAGTATTTGGGCGCAGGTGGGATGCTGAGAGCGAGTTCCAGCTCCTGCACGTGGGCAGCATTTGGGGTGTGGATCACTTGGGTCTCTTGCAAGGTAAAGACATTTCACATGTTTTGCTGTTGTTCTTTTATCTCCCCTCTCACAACCGTGCACTGCTTCTAGGCAGCGCGGGCCTTGGTCAGGTCTTGGGGTGTGCAGCGCGTCCTCAGCCTGGCCTCTCCACTCCCTGTCTACCTTCTCTCCCCAGGTGTCCCGCGCCCCTTCCTCTGCCCCACTCCGCCACATCCAGCAGGCTTCCCCACCTGGTGGGCCTCGGGAGCTCCCGGGGACGGGGCGCGCCGCGGGGACCCAGCGGTGACTCTGCAGAGGTGGAAAGTGGGGCGCCCCGAGCGCGCGCAGGCGCGGGGCGCGGCCCCGTCTCACCAGCAGGTGGCGCTCCAGCTGCGAGGCGCGCGCTTCTCGATGCAGAAACTTGCACAGGATGTTGGTGCCACTGCACGGGAAGAGCACAGCCGCGGAACCCGGCGCCTAGCTGCGGGCGTTCCCCAGAAAGTCGGGAGAGGAGCGGGCGGGCTCCCGGCTGCACTGACTGCTCTTCAGCCGTCCTGGGCTTCCTGCGAAAAAGCACCGGCCGAGGGGTGAGTGCTGAGCAGCACGGGGTCCAGGGAACGCCGCCTTTCTCTTGCGGCATTGTCCGGGGTTTGTACTGACCGGTTTTCCCATCGACAGGGGAGGCATTTTCTGGAAGGGAGTTGCCGGAACCGAAGGAGGGAGCGCGGGAAAGCAGCCCGGGAAGCCGGTGCCAGCGCGTCCGGCCGCCCCGCAGCGGGAGGAGCGTGCGGCCGCTGCCGCCAGAGGGCGCTGTCCGGCTCCCCGCGACCCCGGCCTCCGCTCCCCGGGGGCCGTCGCCGCAGCGGCCGCTCTAGCCGGCCGGCGCGGGCTCTGTGGTTCCGGGCGGAAGTGAGGAGCGCAGCGGAACGGCCTCTGGTGACATTTTCTTGGGGCGGCGCGGACGACTGAAGGGACTTGGCGGCTGCGGAGGCGGCGGGCTTCCCTGTGTCCGCGGCGGGGCCTCCTGGCCGCGACCCCCCTCCGCTCGCTGCCGGGGGCTCGTGCCGCCGAGGAGGAGCAGGCGGCGGTGGCCGTCTCGTCCCGAGTGACCGCGGCCGGGGCTGGGGTGGAGAGGGACAGGCTCCCGGCCGGAGGGTCGTCGCCGTGTGCCCCGACGGGGAGGAGGAGGCGGCGGCCCGGAGCGCAGGTGAGGCGGGCAGGGCGCTGGGCCGTGCGGCCTGGCCGTTCGGGGTCCCCGGGGCAGCTCCGACGGCCCGGGCTCGGCAGCACCCCCCGCTCCCAGCGCGCGGCCCTGGCGGGGTCCTCCACGGCCGGAGCTCGGGGGGCGCGGGGAGGAGGCCCGGGGGCCCGCGGGGTGGTCGCTGCCAGCTGCGCGGCCGCGGGGAGCAGAGGCCTGGCCTTCCGGGGGGCTGGGGGCGAGCTGGCCGAGGTCCGCGCCGGCGGGGCTGTCACCCGCGCGCCCCCCGAGGCTGCCCGTCTCCCCCGGTCGGCCTCAGCCCCCCGCACGGCGCGGGTCGCGGTGTGTTGTGCTATTTCTGCTGCAGCCTCCGCTGGAACCGCGCGTCGTTTCTCACTTTTGAACGGTCCAGTCCCCTGTCCTAAAATAGATGCGCCCAGGTTGAAGGCAAGTCCTAGATCTCTCGCCGCTTTGAGCAGTTTATGCTTAGATGTGCTTTTTTTTTTTTTTTCCCTTCCTCCCTTCCCCCGTTTCTTCCTGGCTGAGCTTTTGCTTTCTGACTCCTTGCCGCCAGCAGGAGAGAAATCCCAGTGATGCTGCTTTGCTAGCTTGGGCCTCTTGACTAAGTTCTGCTTTAGGCGGTTACCCGGTGGTCTCCCTGGGCACGGGTTGGCGGTTGGCATCACTGTTGATACTGACATCGGAAATCTTCGAGCCTCATCTTAAAATGTTAACGTGCTGCAGATGTAAATTTTGAAGTAGATGTATAGAGCCTCAAAGGGAGGGAAGAACTTCAAGAAGAAAGGCAGGGAGGAATGTTAAACTAAGGGACCAGATACACTGGGTGAATCCGATTTCTTGGTGTTTTTTTTTTTTTCTTTCTCTGTAACCTCAGAGAGAAAGGCTGACTGGATGGGAGCTGGCTGCTCGCCGCAGTGTTTGCCTCGGCAGAAGCTTGCCGTGTGGTTGTTACAGGAGCCTTTCATGCTCCGTGTGACGGTGACTCTCCTAATACTCTGCTTTGTAGCTTCCGTAATTAATGCAAGATCCCTGAATTAAAAATAAACTCGGCTCGAGGTTCTGAATGAGTGCGGCTCTGTTAGCCCTGGAGGCGCAGTGTGTGTCCTTTGTAGGTAATCTTACTGTTGCAGTGGTCATTGATACTTTGAGTCTCTTTAGGACTGGTAACTTCCTGCGGGTGTGTGGCCGCTCATTCATTGTTTCCTGGGCTCTGCTATCTTCAGATTCTGTTCTGATAGGCCAAGAGGCTTGGTGGAGGCTACAGGCAGTCAGCGTGTTTCCTCTTGGTCAAGTTTGGCAGTGGTGTATGTTCATACCCGAACCTAAATGTTCAGTTGCTTCGGTAAATCATCTTGGGCTTCCTTGTTTCCCTGCACATGAGTGCAGCAGACCTGAGTGACAGTACGTGAGAAAAGATGTCACCAGTTACAGAGCTACCGTGTGTGTGTGTGTCTTTAAGGCATGCTGATTTAGGAAAGAGTTTGGGAACAATTGAAAATTTTTTTTGGATAGTTGTAATATGTAGGGAAAATCAGATAGTCATTCTAACATGGGTGAAAAGCGTTAGGCTAAGAGAAGAGCTGTTGAGAAAGTGTGGAAGACCAAATATTCATGTGAAACCTCTGGATTCTCCCCACACTAACTTATTGATTGCTCTCTTTGGGCCGGCGGGTCTCTAGTTGCAGGCACTGAAGGAATGAGACTAAGAAGGTCAAGTTGCTCAGGGAGTTAAAGAATGTGAACCTGAGGTTTGAGAGGGCTCCCTCCGGGCGCAGTGCAGGCTGGGGAGCAGCCTTGGCAGCCTTCAGTGTCTGGCTCTGGGCTGGCTCGGGGCCGGTGCCTGAGTTTGCAGGTTGCTGCGGCAGGGCCGGGTTCTGAAGGTGCCTTAGTCGGAGTTCAAGGGAGAGAAGCAGTGTTTACTGCTCTGTGGGGCAGCCTGTCTCAGCAGGGGTAGGATTGATGTTTGGTCACACTCAGCCGGCAGCCCGTGGAGGAGAAAGGTGGAGAGTCCTGCTTCTTTTCTCCTCTGTATTCCTCAACTGCTGGCTGAGGAAATTGCTGTAAATTCCACCCAGCGGCAGTGGGACTTGGAGCTGACAGTGTGCTGGGTGTGACTGCCCAGGACCTGTGGCTGTGATGTGTAGTGCTTGCTTTGTGTCTGTTCTCTCACACCTTTATTCAGAATCAGGAGCCTTCTTCCTCTCTGCTCTTGAGAAGGTGACATAAATCTCTAGATTGTTAACAAGACTTTTAATTTAAAAATTTAGCTGTATGAGCTTTCCGTGTTAGGTGAAGATGAATCAAAAGTGCAAGTGTATCAGTAGACCTTCGTTTTTGTGTGTGTGCGGGGTAAACCTGGCTGAATAGAAGTCCGCTGGCTGAGCACTCTGCGGGGGGATGGGTGCAGAGTGAGGAGCCCCCCTCTGCTGGAGGAACTCAGCCTGGGGGCAAGATGGTTTCTGAGTTTTTCACTTTAAAATGTGGAAGAGAGAAAGTAGGCAGCAGGGGAGCAAAGTAGTGCATCATCAGACAGCTGTGGTGTGGAGCCTTTCGCTGAGCCGAGAAGCCATAAGCCCTTCGCTTTAAGCAGTGATTGTTAGATCAAGTATTAGAAAATAGCTCAAATAGGCTACTGAGCCTAAATTACTGAAAAATTGATTTTTTTTTTTTTTTGGCAAATACTTTCCCTCACTGGTCTGGAATTCAAGCTTGCGTATTAGTAAATTCTGATTAGTGTTCAAAGAGCAATGAAATGCAATCTGGTAAAGTTACAACAGTTATTCCTAAGAATGTATGTCAACTAAGATTGTGCTCAAGTAATATCAAAATTGTTTTTCTTAGCATGACTAGCATTAGAGAAACAAGACACTGATAAAAGGGATTGGGCTTGATAGAACTTTCTTTTTAAACTGAGCTGTCTGGTTTTAGAAAGTGATATGAGCGAGATGTTGCTGGGAATGGGGAAGTGCAGTGTGAACTCTAGAACCTTAAAAGAAAACAGCAGTTTTCAGTAGTAAGAACAATAACTTCATTTGGTTAGGTTTTAAAAAAAAAGTTTATTTTTTTATTTGAAAAGCACATTTTGTTAGATTTTAAGTAGCGTTCTCTCTATTCAAGTTTTAGCTTAAGGTAGAAACATATGTAAAGTGTGCAGCTTATCAGGGGTTTCCCATCTCGCCTTCCTGTCTTGCCCATTCCACTGGGGGTTTGTGGTCAGCCTGAGGGTGTGCGGACAGGGTAGAGCTGTCACGTTTGTCTTGAGGACCGCAGGTTGGTCTCTATGGGGATCTGTGTGGAGTCTGTCTCCTAGGGAACTCGTGGAGGAAACTCCGCAGCTGTGTTTCGAGTGATTCTTGATCTGCTGGGATGATGCGCTTGAGGACTCCACAGGAGCTCTGCTTTGCAGCGAAGCATTTCTTGCATTCGGTAACTTCCTTTGCTTTTTTACTTGGACTTCATTTACTCACAGCCCTGGAGTTGGGCCAGAGACATGGCAGAAGTGGTAGTATCTGCCGTATGGAGTGATGTGAGCAGCCTTAATCACTCTTGTTCTATTTATAGAGGTTATATCAGAGGAGGAAAGGTTGGCTGGCAAGGGGCTCTCTCCTCTTGCTTTCAGTCTCACAGTTTATACTTCAGTTTTTAATAGACCATCCAGCACATCATGGACAGATCTGTTCAGATGCGTTCGTTCCAGCATTCCTTCTCTGTGCTGTAACCCTTTAATACTCAGTGTTTCAGTCAGCTTCACTCTTGAAGTCAAACTGTCACACCAGGAAATGGCAATGTAGCGAGATAGGGGTCAGATTTCTCCGTTACCTTGAATGTGTTTTACGTTTGTTCTTGTCAAGAACCAAACAAGATCTAGGCATTATTTTGTAATCTGCAAACTCCGACGTCAGTCTGTTTGCGCCTGCAAACTGTTAGAGATAGGGAAGAGTCGTTCTAGACCGGAAGTGACAGTTACATTCCTGTGGTGGTGGAAAACTTGTTCCTCCGATTCCTTGGTTTCTTGGTTTTTCTTCTGTGTGTGGAGAGATATCTGCCGGATGATTTTGTGAATCAGGAGACAGTATTTGGGTCTGGTGAGCTGAGTCAGCAGGTGTTAGTGATGTTCCCCAGCGTCATTAATTAGCCATTCACATTCCTTGGTCGGAATGCTTTTCATCAGTCCTTTAAACGTCCGCAGTGTTGCCGTCACTTCCGCAGGCCCTGTTCCCCGAGAGTTGATGAAAAGAATGGATTGCTGTGTTTTTATTTCAGTCCTAATCTTTGGTTCTTGCACTGTTCACGCAACAACTTCTCAGAAAAGAAACGAACCCCCATCTTGCCAATAATTTAAAGAAGTCCTAGTGCTGATGCCTGTGGCATAGTAGGTTAAGCCTCAGTCAGCATCCCATGTGGATGCCCACTAAGCCTCAGTTGGTGGTGCCACTATCCCATATGGATGCCAGTTTGAGTCCCAGCTGCTCCACTTTCAATCCAACTGCCTGCTAATGTGCCTGAGAAATTGGTGGAAGATGGCCCAAGCTGTTGGCCCCTGAACCATTGTAAAAGGCCAGTGGGAAGCTCCAGTCTGCTGGCTTTGGGCTGACCTAGCTCTGCGCTGCTGTTGAGGCTATGGGGGTCATCGGGAGAAAGGTGTCTGTCCCTCCTCCCTTCTCTGTAACTCTGCGTTTCAAATAAAAACAAACATCTTACGTAAAAAGGATGTTCAGAATATCACAAAAGAAAAATCCTCTGAAAACAAAATTTGTTTTGAGATGTTGGGACTTAAGATAAGCTTTGGGACTGCTTCTATCTTAAGTTTAGTAGTGTTTCTATTAGAATAAAGATTTTTGTCTAATAGAAAAAAGTTTCAGGATTCCTGAAAGTTTCAGGATTCAGGCATATCACTGTTACAGATACAATGAAATCTCCCTAGAGCCGAGCATATGCCACTGATATTGCTTTTACCTTAAATTGAGTTAAGAGATAGCTTCATAGTT